TCAGTGCCTGGGATCCGGACGGTGGCCCTGCCCCCTGCCACCGCTGCTGGTCACCATCTGTGGGGTGATCGTTGGGGCAATCGGGTCCTCTCTCACACCCGTCTTGGCCTGGCCCTGCCCGCTCACCTGCTCCACCATCCCACCATGATCCCGCTCTCATCGGGGCCCATCGGGGCCGGCAGTGCCTTCACTGCCATCACCGCATCGCCGACACCTGCCATGTTCCGCACCGCCCCCTGGTGGTCAGCGCACGTCATAGTGAGCAGTCAAACTCCCGGTCGAACAATTTGCATATTAGGCTTTTATTATATAGGATAGTAGTTTTATATCTTTCTCTTGTTGGATCTGAGCATCTTAATTAGTGTCTTCTTAATATAATGTCTTAGTGGTTTAAAAAGTGCTTCCAAATTTAAAATTGAACAAATGTTTCCCATTGTTGTTGTTTTTTAACATATAGCTGTAAAATTAATCTAGAATTAATTTTTGGTACAAGGTATGAGGAGGGACATAATACTGTTCTTTCCCTCCAAATTAACTAATTGTCGAGTATTATTCACTGAATATGCACCCTTTTTTCACTGCTTTAAAATAATCACTACTGTCTGGCCAGTGTGGCTCCGTGGTTGAGTGTCGACCTATGAACCAGGAGGTCATGGTTTGATTCTCAGTCAGGGCACGTGCTTGGGTTTCTGGTTCAATCCCCAGAAGATGATTCTCTCTCATCTTTGATGTTTCTATCTTTCCCTCTCCCTTCCTCTCTGAAATCAATATAAATACATTTTTTTAAAGTCACTATTACCATATTCTAAAATTTTCCAACATGTGTTAAAGTCTCTTATAGGCTTTTTGTTTGTTACTACAGATTTATTGTGCTTCACAGTGTTCCAGCACTGTGTTGTTTTAGTTATTTTGGATTCATAGTGTTTTAAAGTTGAGCTTCTTCATTTTAAAGATGGAGGAACAGAAGCAAAGATAGTTCAAGCAACTTGCCCAAAGTCACACAGCTAGATGGCGTCTCCAAATCTCACACATATATAATTTCCAGTGTATCTGACCTTCTTATAGGTCATGTCTCATGATGCCTCCCTATTCTGCTTATATTATTATCATGTTTGCTCATGACCTGTCACTGCGATGGATGCTTTTTTTTTTTTTTTTAAACAGCCCTAGTACATTTTATCTCTAAGAGCTAGCTAGTCATAAGTATTTGATACATGTGAATTTCATAGTGCCATGCATGGCACATAAGAGCCTTTAATCTATTAATAATAATACAAGTATTATTTCTATCAGTGTTATTGCCTTTCTGTAAGGTACATCCTCACTGTAGTCATATGTCCTTCAATTTTCAGGATGTTGCCAGTGGCAGCTGTTTGACTGTGTTGCCCACCTCTCCTTCCACCCAATGAATTATTGAGAGCCTCAAACTCTAAAGGGCTGACAAGCTATTACAGTAATAAAAAATTATAGACTTGGACATTCCTGTGAGCTACAAGGATGCGAGGTCAGCTCACATGTCCTTGGCTTTTGGAGAAAATTGTCCACTCTAACGTCAAGGTGGTAAGAGCATCTTGGATCTCCCCCTGAGAGTCATGTCACCCAAGGCCCTGGAGAACCTCAGTGAGGAGGGACCTTGTGTCTGCAGTGTCTGTGGTGTGTGCACTTCCGAGTCAGCTGAACCAGATGCATGGTAAGCTCATAAGCAGGGACCCAAAGCACCCCCACCCCAGGTCTGCCAGGTCGCCACAACTGGCCAACATACAGGTTAACTTCCTTTTAAAAACTTGAAATCAGATACGTTGTAATTACTTAAAAATTACACAAGGAGAGAACTGGCTGCCGTGAGAGCTGATAATGGGTTCCTTGAACCCATTTGGAGGCTGATGAGCAAAGGCACTTGGAAGTGCCCTCCATGCTTGCTGCTGAAACCAGACATCGCCATTGCATGTCAGGCACGAGGGCAGAGGAGTGTCCCCTCTGCATTCCTGGAAACTTGAATGTGGGGAGGTGAGCCCAGGTCATGTTCATATCAACTATCAGGTTGAAACCATCCTTTGTCCTGCTCTGTGGAAGCCTATGCTTGATGCCTCCTTGACTTGGAAATAGGTGGTCTTGATTTGGAACTAGGCAGAGGTGTTGTGTTAGCTGAGAGGTAGTCAAGCACAGGTGTGATTGTTGGGCTTCT